CCTATAGAAAAAAAGACAATTTGCTAGCATTTTCCACCACTAACCAGCCTCCCAAAAAGCATCTGCAACCACCCCTTCGCCACGGCTTTAACCCATTGAGTTCTGCTCCAAACGAGCCCCAATTCCTCGGACGTTCGGTGTCAAACGGACGCTCTGGATTCCTAGAAAAAAGACAATTTGCTAGCATTTTCCACCACTAACCAGCCTCCCAAAAAGCATCTGAAACCACCCCTTCGCCGCGGCTTTAACCCATTGAGTTCTGCTCCAAACGAGCCCCAATTCCTCGGACGTTCGGTGTCAAACGGACGCTCTGGATTCCTAGAAAAAAGACAATTCGCTAGCATTTTCCACCACTAACCAGCCTCCCAATAACCAGCCTCCCAAAAAGCTTCCACCAACAGCCTGCCAAAAGCTTTCCAGCCTCCCAAAAGCATCTGAAACCACCCCTTCGCCACGGCTTTAACCCATTGAGTTCTGCTCCAAACGAGCCCCAATTCCTCGGACGTTCGATGTCAAACGGACGCTCTGGATCCCTAGAAAAAAGACAATTTGCTAGCATTTTCCACCACTAACCAACCTCCCAAAAAGCTTCCACCAATAGCCTGCCAAAAGCTTTCCAGCCTCCCAAAAGCATCTGAAACCACCCCTCCGCCACAGCTTTAACCCATTGAGTTCTGGCGGATCTATCATTATTCCCTGGCGCGCTCCCCCTTGCGTCGGCCGGGGTCGGCGGATTCTAGGCCCCAACAATCAAACAATTGCTTTGACAGAAACTTCCCATGCCACCACACACACCATTGATTGATTGATTGATTGCTTGCTTGCTTGATTGATTGATTGATTGATTGATTGATTGATTGATTGACATGTCCAACTCAAATTGTTCAACCAAACCTGGGAATTGAGTTTGCTGTGCCAGCATAGAGGTGCATCCAAAAGCTTCAGCAAGGAGCTCAATGCAGTGGGAATCAAGTTTGCATGAAACGGAGGATTTGCCAGGATTTGCCACGCTTTCACAGGAAAAGGTTGATCCTGGGGTCAAAGCCATTGAGGCCCGATGCAATCCTGTATACCCACTCAATATCTGCCTGTGCGGCAGGCCGTAGTGCAGGACCCAGCAACATATATCTTTTCTTTTAAGAAAAATCCAGCGGTCGCATTGCGGAAGACAAAGGTTGGGAACAAGCGCTGCAGCTTTTGAACGCTGCGAACCAAATCGGCGGGGCAAGTTTTGGCTTGGGTTCTGACTTTCTGATGCGCTCGCTATATACATCCTTTCCGCTTGCATCTGTTGCTTTGCATTTCCCCGTTGCAGGTTCTCTTGAGTTTCATTGGAGCTCCGCCATGAAAGCATGCCAGAAACCTAGTGACCAGATTTGCATTGACGTGAAAAAGACGTATGCAATGCACTGATTCTCTTTGCGTCTCATCTTGTAGACAGAGTGAAAGAGGTGTGGATGCCACGCAATGGGAGTCTGCCATTGCTTTGGTCCCACGGATGCGAAACGACCGCCTGGCTTGTTGGCCTCAAGCATTCAAAAGCTAGTAAAGAAACACAGAATCACACCGAGAATCGCAGCATTGTAGTTGAAATTGCCTGTTTTAAGATAGCTCGTCAAAACAAAAACATATACACATACAAATTATATGCGTACCACATGCAATATATATATATATATATATGTTGAAACGACACTCGTGATCTCAGGATGTCCCATCAGGTTGAGACATCGTATCATGGACGAAGGGACTCTAGGCCCAGGCCATCGGAGAAACGAAGCCCGTGCGTAGCCGATCGGAGTCGGCTGCCAATGTTTTTACATTGGTAGCGGGGCCCAGGTTAAGTCCTGAGCTCCCGCTCCATAGGATTGGAGTGCGACACTCGTGATCGCCATGGCGGCGAGTTCTGAAGGCGCTCATGGCCTTCAATACTTCTCGGGCGAATCAGAGGACGCTCGGGAATACAAACGCTGGAAACAGTGGGTCATGAACAAACTCCTGACCCTTGAAGACAAGGTGGCACCCAAGGCACGAGGTGCCTACATATATACTCTTTTGTCGGGGAAGGCATTGGAGTGTGTGGAACACCTTGACCCAGCTAGCTACCAGAAAGAAGGTGGAGAACGTGTGTTGCTGGAGCGCCTTGACAAGCGCTTTCCCCAGAAGGATGCTAGCGATGAAATGAGCGAGTCATTGACCGAGATCTTCAACCTTCGAGCTCATGACGGAGAGAACTTGAAAACCTGGATTTCGCGTGCCAGCGAGCTGTTTGAAAAGTGTGAAAGGAAAACCAATGTTTCCTTTCCTGAAGAGGCTCGCGGATGGCTGATTCTCAACAGATCTGGCCTATCAGAGGAGCAGAAAGCAGTGGTTCTGGCCAGATCCTTGGGAGTCTTGAAGCGGGAAGAAATTGGTCGCTCCATGCGCTCGTGTTACCCCGAGTTTGTCGTGAAGAAGAAACACTTGGGGGCTAGCATTGTAGAAGGGGACTTCGGTAACACTGCACCCGAAGGTCTCAGTCCGGACGAAGATTCTGACCTGGCTCATGAAGTTGAGGCTTTTCTGGCCGACCACGACCTTCAGCCAGATGACCATGAGCCTGAGGAGATCTTCACGGAGCAAGAGGTGGCCGAAGCTTTGGCCATTTCATGGAAGGACCGCAGGAAGGAGCTTGGAAAACTCCAGCGGTCCCGCAAGTTTGGAGCTGCGACAGACCTCAAACGCAGCTACCGAGTGGAGATTGCTGAGTTGAAGCGCAAGACCAAATGTCATCGTTGTGGCATGGTTGGACATTGGTCGAAAGAATGTACTCAGCCTCGGACAACTCCTCCAGGTGCTGGTCGCAGTTCTTCGTCCAGTGGTTATGCGAAGAAGGAAACTGGTGCTGCATTTGTCTCAGAGGCCGCCGAGCTTGAGCAGGAGTACGAAGAACTCCAAGCTGGGTTAGACTTTGTGGCCATGGCGGGCGTTTGCCCGTGCTCTTTGTCGCCGTTGTCCATCCTCCGTGAGAAGCGACGCCTCATCGGTATGCTGCCTGATGAGTTGCCCCACCCAGAAGTTCTTTTGGTCAGTTCACCTGGCTTTGGAGTTTTGGACTCCGGATGTGGCAGATCAATCATTGGTCGCGATACATTGACAGAGTTTCATCAGTTGTGGCGCGCAGCCGGTGTTCCAATCCCCACGGAGATCCACGAGGTGAATCATTTTCGCTTCTGGAATGGTGAGAAGAGACCACCGAGTCAGTGATTCGTCTTCCAGTCACTCTGGGAGGCAAACAGGGCACCATCCGAACCGCCATCGTGAGGGGACAAGCTCCCTTCCTCATCTCACGCAATGCTTTACAGACATTGAAGGCAGTCATTGATTTTGGCAAGCAGCAGTTGACATTGTTTGAAGAGCAAGTGTTGGTCCCTTTGGTGACCAATGAGGCCGGTCAATTTGCAGTGAAGGTGGTTGGCTCCAGTGATCAAGTCAACTTTGAGCAAGAAGTGATGTGCAGCACCTTCACTGACAACTCAGGATCCATGCCCTCGCCGGTCTCAGAGGACCGGCCAGCTGGCTCTTCCAAGGTCGAACAGGATTCGTCGATCGACCGTTCCTTGCCAGGCGACTCGGAGTCACTTCAGTACTGGGTAAGACATGATTCCTTTTTGCAAAAGACACCCACCATAGGGAAACAAGGCCCACAATGGCAAACCGTGACCCGTCGCCGAGTTGTCGATGAAACGACAAATGCTGTTTTGTTTGATGAAATGATCGAGCCACAAAAAGGTAAGTCATACTATCATCATGTGTTGCCTTCCCAGGTTCTACACACTCGTACCGAGTTTTGGTTTCGACCACAGGAGCTTGCTTCCACGCTTGATTGTCTCCCAGTGCATTACGTTCGACAACTGAAGTCGCAACTGAGAGATTTAGATGTTCAGATGAAACAACCTCCAGAGCATGGCACTCCGGCGGATTACTCAGTTCTTCGTGTAGCTGAAGTTTTTTGCCCCCCAAGATTTGCACCGTTGGTCACTGGAATGGGAGGTGAATGTGTTTCATATGACTTGTTGACTGGATATGACATGTCCCAGGCTTCTGTACGTGATCAAGTGTCCAGGGAACTCCGCGAGACACCTCCCGATCTCTTGGTTCTGTGTCCGCCCTGTACCGACGAAGGAGGCTGGTTCAATATCAATTCGCTCAACATGACACCGCAGGAAGTGGCACACCGGGTCCGGATGAGCCGGATCTTCGTCCGTTTCTGCTGTGAGTTGTTCCGCCAGCAGGCTGAAGCCGGACGACAGGCCTTGCTCGAGCATCCCAGAGGGTCTAGGATTTGGTCATACCCAGAGATGCAAGTACTTTTGGCAGAGTATTTTCCTTTGGAGTGTGACTTATGCAGATATGGACTCCGGTTGCCCGACACAGACCGACTCATCCAAAAGCCGACTAGGCTTCTGGTTAGTCATGCCTCCATGTCCACTCTAGAAAAGAGGTGTCCCGGATCTCATCACCCTCAACACCGCTGCCATTTTCCTGTAGCTGGGTCACACCCCTCAGTTGGTCGTGTAAGTACGTTCACTGGGAAGTACACCCCAGCATTCGTGTTGGCTGTCATGAACACTGTGGAGAAGTATCGTGCCTTGGCAAAACAGGTCATGCCTGTGTGTGTTCCATGGACATTCGACCATGAACATCAAGTAATGATGGTAAAGGACGATTTGGCCCAGGATGACGACGAGGCTGTTCGTAAGGCCTTGACCCGACTTCATAAGAACCTAGGCCATCCATCACAGGCTGATCTCGTCCGACTGCTAAAGCATGCTCAGGCTTCCGAAAAGGCTATCAAGCTGGCCCGCCAGCTCAGCTGTGATTTTTGCCTTTCCCAAGGGAAACCACATACCCCACTGCCGGGGCAGACCAGCCATCCCACAGTGTTTAATCATGTGGCGGGGATGGATGTGAAGCATCTCAGGGGATGGAAACCCAACCAAACGATTAAGGCTTTGAATCTAGTTGATCACGCCAGCAACTACCAGCTAGTTCTTCCTTTTCATGAGCAAGAGACTTCTCAGGTTCTTCGACAATTGTTTGAACAACACTGGATTCGTGTTTTTGGTCCTCCCAAAGTGGTTATGATGGATCCGGCTCGCACCAATCTAGGAGAACCCATGCAAAGCCTTTTGGATTCTTTGGGTATTCATTGTAAACCAATAGCCGCTGAAGCTCATTGGCAACTGGGAAGAACCGAACGACACGGTGGCTGGTTTGGCAACGTTCTGTCAAAGCTGGTGCAAGAGCACAGTCCGGAGAGCAAGAGCGATTGGGAACAATTGGTCACACAAGCACACGTCAAGAACACCATGATTCAGAACCACGGGTTTACTCCTTTTCAGTTTGTATTTGGGCGCAATCCTGATGTACCTACAGAACTTTTGGATGAACCCTTACATGTGGTCCCGGCAACTCTTGGGTTGACAGACGAAGCGATCCGAAAGGCCCAGGAGATCAGAACCACGGCGTGCAAAGCTGTGATTGACCTCCAGAGTGACCAGTCGCTGCGTCGAGCTCTAGCAGCAAGACCTCGTGTGACCTCGTCTTTCCAAGCTGGAGATCTTGTGGCCTACTGGAGAGAGCAAAAATACCAAGGGGGTACCAAGTCTGAAAAGGGTCATGTACTTCTGGGAGGACACTGGTTTGGTACAGCTGTGGTTATGGGAAGGGTAGGCCGGAACTATGTCATCGCCCACCGCAAACAGATTTTCCGGGTAGCACCAGAACAACTCAGAGCAGCTACATCCGAAGAGAAGGCAGTACTTCAATCACCCCAAGCTGAACTACTCGGTATTAAAGATCTGTTGGAAGGAGGTACTTTTAAGAGTCACCAGTTTGTGGACTTGGTTCCGGGACATTACCCCACAGTGCAAGCAGACTCGACATCATCACAAACGCAAAGCAATATCAGACCAAGTGAGCCTGCTCCTCCAATGCCCGACGTTCCAGCAGAGAGACCACCCGTGCCAGCAGTGAGCGGGGAAGAAACCGCTGTTCCCATGGAAGTGGTTCCACCAGACAACAAGACCAGTCCAGACAAACATCAAGAAAGACTTGATGATGAAGAGGAGTTTCCTCGCTTCTCTCAAGGTGGATCCAGTTCCAGTGCCAGAGCTCCGTCAGCCGAACCAGTGTACGGCCCTGTGCGCCGTCGTGTCTCACAGAAGGCCGGTGAGGCAGCTCTGTACCGTCCACCAGCTATGAGGGAAGAGGACTTCACTGAGATGATGCGAGAGATGGTTCCTCATCTATTGGCTGATGCATTAAACATGGACACCAGTGAGCCAACCTCCAATGTGTCCCTGAAGCGAGAGCATGAAGAGCCAACCAGCGAAGAACCACCTGCCACTCGCATGCGCACCTCGACCGATCAAGACGACGAGTGCCTCTTTTTGGTTCAGAGGTCTGGAATGAGTGGTCTCCCAACCAACCAATAGAGGTGCTCATGGCTGCATACCTCCAAAAGAAACTAAGCAAAGAGATTCCTCATACAAACGCTGATCCCCAGTTGCAAAGGTTGGTTGATGAGTCAAAGATTGCGGAATGGAAAACTCTCATTGAAAAGAAAGCGGTAGTGGTTCACTATGGGAAGAAAGCTGCACTGATCCGTGAAAAATATGCCCACCGTTTTATGGGAAGCCGGTTTGTCATCATACGAAAACCGTTGGAGGAGAACCAACACATTGACATCAACGATCCATCCACATACCGTATCAAAAGTCGTTGGTGTTTTCAAGGTCACTTGGACCCCGACTGAGATGCTAAGGCCCAGGAAGGCCTCCTCAAGTCTCCCACCTTAAGTCAGATCTCTCGTATGCTCCTCATGCAGTTGATCTGTTCCTTTGGCTGGGACTTGCAGTTGGGAGATATAAAAGGAGCCTTCATGGAGGCCGGACCTCTGGAGGATAAGTTCCGGCCACTCTATGCCTCTCAACCTGCAGGAGGCATCCCTGGAGTTCCGGAAGATGCGGTGTTGGAGATTGTTGGAAATGTCTACGGGCAGAATGACGCCCCAGCAAGTTGGTTTCGTACTTTCCACACTGAGGCATCTTCAGCGGGTTGGCAGCAGTCTATTTTTGATCCCTGCCTGTACTATCTTCGTAACCCCAATAGCAACCAGTTGGAAGGGATCATGGGTGTTCACGTTGACGATACAGCCGTAGGTGGATCGGGCCCTCGTTTTGATGAAGCCATTCGACACCTCAAAGCCAGGTTTCCATATCGGAAGTGGCGCGTGGGCGAGGGAGAGTTTTGCGGTAGCTACTATCGGCAAAATAGAACTACTAAGGGTATTCGCATGTCTCAGAAGTTGTTTGCCGAATCGCTCCGTCCCGCAAACATTCCAAAGGGTGCTAATAGTGAAACCAAGCTCCACGATGGTCAAGTCAAAGTCCTCAGAGCAATCAACGGAAGCCTCAATTGGTTGGCATCACAGTCCAGACCAGACTTGGCTGCCCAGACAAGCATGTCACAACAAGCGTTTCCCAATCCCATCATTAGGAACTTGAGAGATGCTAACAATGCCGTGCGTAGGGCGAAGCAACATAAAGACTTAGAAATTTCCTTTCAAAGCATCAAACCGGAGAATCTCCGAATCTGCTGCCACAGTGATGCTGCATGGGCAAACTTGGGACACCACACACAAGCAGGCTTCATCTTAGCTTTTACAGATGAAACTTTGAATCAAGGTTTGGTTGCCCCTTGGACGCCACTGCTTTGGAAGAGCTACAAACTTCCCCGTGCAGTCAGCTCCACCTTATCGGCGGAGAGTCAAGCTATGGCATGTGCAAGTGGCTCAGTAGAGTGGGTCAGTTTGCTCTTGTGCGAGGCGCTGGACGGCTCATTTGAACCACGAGCCGGACGGGAGATGCTGTCACGTAGGGCACCCCTACTGGCCACAGACTGCAAGTCCCTGTTTGATCATCTAGTTTCCCCTTCATCTCCGACAGCAGTTGAAGATCGCAGGACTAGTATCGATATAGTGATCATTAGGGAATCCTTGAAGTTAACTAAGGCACATGTTCGTTGGCTTCCAACCGACCGTATGATTGCCGATGGTTTAACAAAAGATAAACAGGACCCAATATAGACCTTCTCCGTTCGTGCATCAGAACGTCAACGTACCAGATCTCGCCTGAGAGCCATGTACTAGCCCAGCAGGCTGCCGAACGAGAACGTCGTCAGAAAAGTCGGGTCGAAGCACAGCAGGGTCACATAGTCCCATCGGGGCCAATGCACAGTGAGCTCGCTGCTTAGTTAGAGGTTCAGGGGTTCACAAGTGAGTACTCTTTTGGGTTGAGTATCTAGCATTTGTGCAGAAACCTCTTGCAGTCTTGTCACTGTAAATTTTGTTTGTATCACTTTTCGTTAATGCTATGTTCCTGCAGTCCTTTTCCTGTTACTGCTCAAAGGCTGACGCTCTTGTGTCTGTCTGAAAGGGTGAACATGTCCCTGTCCTCGGAGGACCAGCAACAGCTGTTGGAGCTTCTCAAGAAGGCTCATGCCAGCGGTGTGAAGTCGGAAGAACTTCACCATGCAGTGCAAGTCAGCTGCCAAAGTCCTCCAGCCTCAGAGAATGATTTCTTTGTGGTCTCCAGCGGAGGTGCAATGACCGATGCCGCGAAGCGTCGTGAGATGTGTGAAGGAGAATCCAAGAATTCCAAGCGTGCCTTCAAGACCGCTTACGGTCCAGCCGATGCGACTTCCTCTGATGCCCATGCTGGCTATCCGATTCAGTGGGAGGGCGACATTCCCGGCTATGAGGGCGGCTCTTATGTGGCTCCAGGCGTGAAGCCAACACCATTTCCTTCTCCGCAGCCTGATCTGCCATCTCCCAAGCTGGAGAGCGAATTCCCGGAAGGCATCACTAGCCTTTCACAATGGGGTCGGACCATTGTGAGTTTCGGCCAATACAACCATCAGAATGTTTCTTATTTTGACTTGATCAGCAGTACAGAGGCCCGAAAGGCCAATTATGTGAAGTGGTGTAAGTCCCATGGCAAGACAGCTGGTGGATTCCTTAAGGATTTCTGCAACTATATCCAGCTGTTTGAGGCCACTTCTGGTGAGAACCAGGGACCCAAGATTCCGGGTACCGGCCATGTTCGCTCTTTTAAGAGTTGAAGATCGGTGTTGAAACGACACTCGTGATCTCAGGATGTCCCATCAGGTTGAGACATCGTATCATGGACGAAGGGACTCTAGGCCCAGGCCATCGGAGAAACGAAGCCCGTGCGTAGCCGATCGGAGTCGGCTGCCAATGTTTTTACATATATATACATATATGTATGTATGTATGTATGTATGTATGTATATATATATGCATTGGACCCGCTGTGCGGGTATCGACTTTCCACCCGCAGACGAAGACAAATTCCGAAGACGAATCCCAAACAAATTCCGCGAAGACGATTTCCCTCCTGCAGACGAATTCCCCCCCGAAGACGAATTCCGCGAAGACGAATTCCCCCCCGAAGACGAATTGTTCTACTACTACTACTATTATTATTATTACTACTATACTACTACTACTACTGCTGCTACCACTACTACTACTGCTACTACTACTGCTCCTGCTCCTGCTCCTGCTCCTGCTCCTGCTCCTGCTCCGGCTGCTGCTGCTGCTGCTGCTGCTACGACTACGACTGCGACTGCGACTACGACTATGACCGCTACCACTACGACCACGACTACGACTACGAGTACGAGTCCCCAGGCAGCATCGAAAGGAGTAGGGAGATGAGAAGTAAACATCGTAAGTAGTAGGTAGTGAGTAGTATGTAATATAGTAGGCACTGCGTAGCTGTAGCTCCTGTAGCAGAGTCTTTGTACTCGTGACCTCTTGATATTGTTTGATGCCATTGGGCGAAAATAGAATGTCCGCTTCTCGTCTTAGGCTTACATTGCGCAGAAGAATAGTGAATCTGTGGCTGCAAGGTGTGCGCCATCAAGGAATGCGTCGTCAGAATGCGTAGCCAGCCCCGAATGTGTCGTCAGGATGCGTCGTCAGGGGGGAATGCGTCGTCAGCCACAAATGTGTCGTCACACAATGTGTCGTCAGAATGTGTTGTCAGGGGGGAATGCGTCGACAGTCACGAATGTGTCGTCAGAGATGTGTTGTCAGAATGTGTCGTCAGGGGGGAACGCGTCGTCAGTTGCGAATGTGTCGTCAGGGAATGTGTCGTCAGCGGTTGTTTTGCGCTCAGGCATTGTGTCGTCAGAATGCATCAGCGTCAGTGCTAAATGTCGATACGCAGGTTGCGGCCACTCTGCATACACACACACACATATATATATATTTATATTTGTATATATATATATTTATGTGTATATACCAACCTATCTATCTATCTATCTACCTGTCTATCTATCTATCTAATCTAATCTAATCTAATCTAATCTAATCTAATCTAATCTAAT